GCGAATAAAAAATGGCAAGGAAAATTCATTTGGCGCGCAAATTGAACGAAGGTTGCTCTTCCACAGCGGCGAAGAAGTGAAAAAAAACGTGGCCAGCAACATACACGCTTAAAATTATATGCTAACCAAAAGCCAGCCTTTCCACTGAACATTCCAGGCGAACACAGGCATTATTTATAGTGCACGATGTGAGCCGTGCTTTGTACGCGCCAAACCATATGAATTATAATTTGCTAGACTATGGAATACATGCTATATGCGATCGCATATAGTCACTTGGTAATGTATGTTTTGCTCGGGTGTGTGTTTTTTCGGGATGGCATTTAAACAAGATTCTTGTTCTTATTTCGTCGTCGTAGTCGTCGTTCCAATCTTCACTATATATAGAGTTGATGTGCACATTTTTATTTTCATTCCGGTGTTTGTCTCTTCGCTTTTCAGCGTATGCACACTTTTTCCCATACACACTCTCTTCTTTCTCTGTTCGCGCGTCGTGCGCTCCGAGCGCGCACACACAAATCAACTTTTTTTTGTTCCCGCACTTTTCTTTCGCTCATTTCAACCGATGTTGGCTTTTATTTATTCGCCATTGTATTTGGTTTATGGTGGTTTGTATCGGTTTTGCTTTTAAACGCTAAGTAATATATTATTTCATTCATGTACGAAAAGTGGATGTGAATGAATGTGCGCGGAAAAAAAATAGTGCAGATTAGACGGTTCGCATTCTCATGTGAGAGAGTGTCGTGTACAAAGTATGCATGTTATTGTGGCGGTTCTTGGTTCAACACTCGGGCTCATTCATATCTTTGTTCAAGAATCTATCATATATTGTCTCGCGTTGAATGCTAACATGTAGTGCGACTTAAAAAAAGAAGAAGAAGAAGTGGATATAAGAGCAAGATATATGCACATCTTCATTTTATTCGACTCAAGAACACACCTCGTGCCATTCGATGATTCATTATAACATTGGATCAGCCACGAATCAGCATAATTACTTGCATATTATATCTCATGGATTCGGATGTTTCTTTCAACGAAAGTAAAGGCAGAGAGCGAGCAAGAAGAGCTGTGGAATATTTATATTTGCTGCGGTGGCATTGAAGCCTAGCTGCGTGTTTCACTTTGCCAGTGCGGTTTTGGTTCGATTGTGAGCCGGGCGGTTGGTGTGTGAGCCTCGATAAATGATGAAATTTCCCAAAACCAGACGAACGCCAGAATTATTTGCGACGAATAAATTTGATTATGATAAAATTGTGTGAGTGTGCATGTGTACACACAATTGTGTGATCGAAATGTGGAAAACGACGTAACGGGGTGAGCGAGAGCGAAAGAGAGTACAAGAGGCGCACATAGAGAGTGAGAAAATGTATGCGACATGCCAACACTAAGTTTATTGTGTAAAGTAAATGTCGTTGCAGAGCATTGCGTTTAAAACTTGTTCCATTCTAATCCATATTGAAATTGAAATTTAATGTGCTTTTATGTTGAACTTTTTGCCTCGTGCATATGCATTCCTTACATTAACACATATTATCTCGCCTGTTATCCGATGAATTTGTGTCGTTACGCTCTGTATGCATGTGTGTGTGTGTGTGTGTGGTTGGCGTTTGGGTGAGAAAACCGCGACGATATCAAAACATATTGGCATGACTTCAAACTCGTGTTTGCGTATATTCTACGAGAACACAAAACAACACACAGACACACATGCTCACCGCTCGTTTCGGGTGGATATATTGCCATTCATGTTCTTTGCCGGTACGCGTTGTATGTATGTGCTCTGGTAAAAATTCTCTCACACAACCAATACACACAGCCACCCAATAAAATGTAATAAACAATGAACACGATTATTAACACGAAAACAACCATTATTCTCATAACAAAGAACCAGAAGAAGTGAATTCGTGACGCAAACAAACGACGATGCAAATAAAAAAAAACACAGAGAATCCATCAAAAATGCCCCAATTTAACAGCAGAAGAAGATGAAAAGAGCTCGGTTGAATTTCAATTTATACAACGGTTGAATTTAAATTTTTGCGCTCGTTATTGTCCCGATATGCATATCAAGTTGATGATAATAACGACGATGCAATATTTAATTATGTAAAATGCATCGTTTTCGCTTTGTTATTTTAATTGGTGAGATGAACATTTTTCTGCGCTCACAGTTGATAATGCGCCATTGCGTTGTTCTCATTTTTGATGGCATTTTTGACTCTCAATCGTTTCCCAAGGCAAACAAAGTACAGTGAAATTATTGAAATTGACTTTCCGTTCGTTGAACGAACAAATGAAAAAGAGAAAAAAATCGAAAGGAATTCATATCATGAAACGCTCTAACACTTAGTCACTCAATTAAATTAGACTTCGAATATTTGAATAGAGACAGAGAAAAGGTGTTAATTCCGAATGTAATGCAATTGCCGTTTCCATAATTTCGAAGCTTTTCTGCAGTATTAATGGCATCGTCAAGTGCCACTGTTGTTCCTGCTCCGTTTCGGAAAAATTTTCGACGACGGATTCATTCATTCGCATCGTCTTGTGTGCGCATGTAATGTTCACAACTAACATACACACACATAAACATCTTCCAGTTTGAATGCTAATTGTAAAATTACTAATCTGAATGGTGCACTACACTCGACATGCAACCCCAGACTGGTCCTGCTGTTACGTTTGAGTCAGCATTTTAAGTTTCTTCTTTCTCACTCTCGCCCTCTCTTTTTTCTCGGTTCCCAAATTTCGCATATTGTGCTTCAAAGTGATATTCATAATTGTTTCGATATAATGAAACGAGCGAAATGTGATGAGGAGAAGAAAAGCAACCATTGGAAGTAACACTGTGCAAGTGTACTAAGCCAAGGAGAGATAGCAATGGAAGGAGAGAATGGATGAAAGCAAAGAAGAGGGAAAAAACAACGAATGACTCGAATGCAATATGTAGCGAACTAATTTGAATCAAGCATTTTTCTCAATATAAGCATTTAATGAGTGAGTACGTATTGTACATGTACACACAAACACAAAGTGGAAAAAATACAGAAAGAGCTCATGACCTTTTATTGCATCCTTTTAACGGTGCAAAAAGTGGAAAGAAGGCGACCAACATCAAAAAGCGGTCCGTAATTGTTCAGTTGACTCTTGACTCCTTGTCGTACGATAAGTCATCCCATTTTCGTTTCCATAAAATTACCCATATAGTTGTACGCAGTGGGTTTTTTCCTTCTCTTATTCTGCTTTTCTTTTTTCTTTGTGTCGTCACCGACACAACCGCTCGCGCTCTCTTTCGCTAGTTCACAACGAAGTGTTGCCCTGCTGTGTGTATGTGACTGTACAGAATGTCGACAGTTACGATTATAGAATAGATTGCTTTTAATTCGATCCCATTCGTTGGCTGTAAATCTTTTTGCTTGGGCTGCTTTGCTTATATTTTGGACGCTATTGTTTCGAATTTGCATTTGCCATTGCGTTGGGTTGGCTTTTGGATTCTGCTGTTCACCATAAATTTGCTGACTTGAATTGATTTGTTTACGTGTGTATTTTTGAGTGGAAAAGGATCTCTCAATGCGACTTACTATTTGCTCTACATATTGTTCGAGCATTTCCATTCGAATGATTCCAGCTTGTGCTTGGATTTTTAATCAGAGAGTTTTGCTCTTCGATGTGGCGGTGTGTTTAAGTTGTCTGTGGTTTATTGGTTTTTCGTCTGATTTTGACTGTTTTTTTTTTCATTCTGTATCGTTTTCGTGTTTGTTATATTTGTTTTTGTATCTTTAACACTTTTAATGCTTTGGCCATACAGTCTGAAATACGATGAATTCAGACAAATCGTGCACAACGCACGACATTTGAGTCACATTTATCATTGTTTAACATATTTCAAAGTGACCAAACGCGTTTCGGTTTTAATGCAATCGAAATGGATTTATTAGTCACCCTCATGCACACACACACACACACACAGACACTTCTAAATGAATCAACCGCATATATCTTTTTAATGGTTTTTGATTAGATTAGGCGTCTCCATTTGTTCATTTTTTTTTTAATGGAAAAACTCAAGTATTGAATGATTTTTTTGAACGTATGCCAAGCCGCTTTATTCAAAAGGCCATGTAACATGTTGAGGAAGGCCATGTAACATGTTGAGTCCCCATGTTCAGGACGGCTCCAATAATTTTTTACAAATGGTTCAATTTCGTCCATGGTTTCATATCTTTTGGCTGGCTGCTGAATTTCATACAATGTTCGGGACAATTAAACCAACCGTCTCCATCATCCGAAGCTTCAGCCATCGAAAGCCCATGGAATGTTGTTGAATTGAAACCATTTGAATTTCAACAGGAATACTAGCGTAGTGTACGTATTACACGATTTGTGTTTTTAAAAAAAGAAAGAAAAAAGAACGGAATTTATCATTTGTAAATAAATTCAATTCAGATCAATTCAAATTGGACTAAAAATTCGGCAATCAATGATCACATTATTTCTTCCATATCTTTCATCCACATAAGAGATAATGAATGCAGTGAACAAACATAATTACCAAAAAGTGTATTCACAAATGTCAAACCAGTCAAATATTAGTTTAGACATTGTTTGATCTGGGTTTTGTTCAATTGGATACAAATTCAAATACTTCGTTGAAAAAAAAATGTAAATCAACTGTTTTGAAATTCATTGGTTGCTTGATCAAAGTAACAAAAAGAATTGCTCGTCATCGATTATTCCGAGAAAGGGTATTACAATGTGGCAGAAACGTAACGAACTCGACAAATGAACAGCTGTTTAAATATTTCCAAGTCGAAATGAGTAAAATGAATAATAAATGCCATCATCTCAGAAAATTGAGTTCGAGCAAGTTCTCAGGCAATAGAATTCAAATATTGGCGCATTTGTGTGTCAACGCAGTCTATGTTTGCCATGCACATTTGATACGAGGTGAAAAGTGAAACGCAAGTGTTTGCTGTTTGGCATAAAACCTCAACAGCGTCATTCATGTGAGCGGTACGGTAGAGTGAAGACATAAAAAGAGAGGCGAAACACATAGAGAGAAAAGTGAAGAGAGCGCACGAGTCAGACTGATACACTGTGTGTTGTGTGTACAGAAACGTAAACAATGTTTTCATCTATAATCATTCTGAAGCAGTGAGAAAGTTAGTCGCATGTTGCCGTGACATTACACGTACATGCTTTGCGTTTCGGTGTAGTTGGGTGCAGCGCCACATGCAGACAACAGTTTGGTTCTCCGAGAGAGAGCTGTGAGAGACAGAGCGAGATAGTGAGAGAGAATCAAATCATCTTTGGCAGTAATAAGAAGCAAGCGGCGAGCAAACAAAAATCACTGCGAACGTGTTTGAGAGCATCACAAGTAATCAGTCGTGTTGCATTAGTCTTGGTGTGCGACGGTGTGTTTTCTGTCAATTTTCCAAATCGGTGACACACACAGTGTTTCTGCTTCTGCTGCTGCTGTTGCTGTTTTTTTTTTGTTATATTCTTGAGTATCTGTGTTTTTTTCTTCGGTTTTGCTACGTGCATTGTGTTTGGTTCATGCATTAAGTTCGGTGTAAAATAAAATCCCGTGCAGTAAATGTGAAGAAAACTTACAAAAACTCGGTTCGAAAAGCAGCAAAAATCCAAATTCAAATTGTTAGTTTTACTTCGAAAAAAAAAATCGAGTGTTCAATTCAGTGTGTATGAGTGAAATCTGCCGCCGACGACGACTGCAAGATTTTTTTCTATTCAACGAATGCAATTTTTCTAAACCAGGTAAATTTAGTGTTGTTAATATTGTATTTGGTGGTTGGTTTGTTTGAAAATGGTCTGGTGTGTTACGAAAGATTTGTGTGGATTGAAATTAAGGCGCATTTCATTCAGTTCTATTTCAATTGATTGAGATGCAAATGAACGCAACAGCAACAACAATGACTACGACGATGACGACGGTGGCGGCAGCAGCCGTCTCCTCTCGCATTGCATACACACCATCATTCGGTGTGCCCTTTTTCTCACTTCATCTCATTCGTGCAATACTTTTCTTGTTGCTGCATAAATTATACGTGAAGCAGAAAACAAAAGTAACGCAACGCTGTTAATATTGCATGATGAATTTACTGCCAAAAAACTAACGAGATATACAACAACACTACTAGCAGCAGCAATAACAATATATTACTACCAATTTCAGCTCAAGTGGTATTTTTTCCGCATTATTCATTTTTTCCCGTTGTATAGAAAAACGTTTTCTATTTGTTTTTGAGCCATGAAAAAAAAACACAGAGAACAAACGCTGTTTGATGAATGAAACATTGATTGCAAACAAAACATTTCGATTTAAGAGAGAGAAAAAAACACAGAGATTTGTGAAATGCCAAAGAGAGGCAGGGAGATAGGCACAAGGCACATACATAGTTAATAACGATGGTTTGTCAGCGGTTTGAATATGGAAAGACACAGTTCACTTTTACGGCTTTATTGAGAGTACTGTGTGCTCTGTTCTTCTTTCCCCGCTCGACATTGTGTGTATTTTTAGACAAAAATCCCATGCAACTTATGTGTACCAAAAGAAAGCAAAACGTGAAAAACATAAATATACGATAAATTCCCATTTATGATGATATTGTAAACGGAATGAAGGTGAAGAAAAATAGAGAAAGAAAAACTTCCGAGCTGGTAGTAAACAGTTCCATCAATAGTTGTGAACTGAAGAAAAAAACCAACGACAATTCAAAGCAAAGTTCACAAAAACCAAATTACCATCGTTCATAAAGAGTTAAGCGATCTATTTATAAATTTACAACAGACAGCATAGGTAAAAAAGAACGGACGGGAAAATATATATATATATAATATAATAATAGTCATTTAGCGGAATAAATACTTCAAGTAATTTTTTACCGCTAAAACAAGGTAGGCAATGAAATCAACGATGATAACAATGCGAACGAAAGAAAAAAACAGCAGCAACAACAATCTCAGCTAAATTATGTTAAGCGTTCAAGTTTGTATTCATTCCCACTCGGAATGTATCTATGCAAGAGTGTGCGGCACGTCAATTTTTTTCTTCATTAAGTTTTTGCTTTCTTTTATACATAGCCGTGTTCTTTCTGTATTTTTTTTTCAATTTCAATTCCGTTTGCTGTTATTGTTGTTTTTTCGTCACCACCGCTAAAGTGCTGTTTGTCCAACAGACCATGCAGCAAACGTCATTAGTGTGCGGCATTCCCCATTGTGGCTCATAAATTCGTATTCAAAAGCAAAGTATGTCGTGACACATGATCCGAAAAAGAATTGACAAAAAAGCTTCATTGACAAAACTGCCTCATCAAATGTGCCATGTAATTGATTAAATTGGATTCAAGTGACACTAGTAATAGCGGCTGGAAATACAGCGAATTCACATCGAAAACAGAAACAAAATTACTCTTAATGTAGTGGTCATATTAGTGGCTTTTAATTAAGTAATTTGATTGAGTTGGCATAGAAAAAAACTACGGCCGACAATAGAAATCTCGTTTCTGTATCAATCTTCCTAAAATGAAACCAGATCGAGTATCTTTCTTATCAGACCGTAAAATTGGCCCATTGTATTTTATGCAAATTGTTACAATTTTCGGCAGGCATATTGTTAGCATATTTGTATCGCCACTTTCTTGCTTCCATAGCCAAACATAAATAAGAGTCCAACAAAACGATTCATCGCTCGATTGACAATAACAAAAAAGGCGACAAAACGCCTGAAAGAACAAAAAGAAGGGGACAAAAAAACTGAATGAACACACAGTGTGTGTGTGTGTCTCTGGACGAGGAATGAAAAACGGTATGCGAACGACGACGATGACGGCAATGATTGAAAAAATCAATATATGGAGTTTGTATTTCAGGGATATTCTCTATCTATATCCATATATTTTATTTGTGTAAGTGACAACAAGACGAGTTAAATGGAGCATTTGCATGTATTTTGCTTTGAACAAGCCCAACCATCCACATCAAACAGGACGCTAGACTTCTGTTCAGAGGCTAGTCGATATTTTATCATGTTTCACATTTTATGCCCTCCGGATGACACATCCGATTGTTTGCTCACGTAATATATATTACTCAGCTCAGTTCGATACAATAATGGTGAACACGATGATATCGTGACGTTGAGTATGATTTCGGTACCTCATACCACTCCTCCATCGGTAATGACACAAAATGTACAACACACAACTGCGGTGTACTGAGAGTTTCAATTGAATAATGGTTGTGCGTGGAAAAACTTTATATTCTATGAGCAAACTAATACGCTGAATCCACATTACGGCCGGCTACCGGTTGTACTCTTTCGTCTCTCCTGCTTTCTCTCTCTTGCACTCTCAGTCTCTCTCTGTCACTGGCACATTTCCTTCCAGCTCTGTATCGGGATTTCATGCTTCACGCTAGCACCGAGGCCAAATTGCATGAGCATTTTTTTTATGTGTTTCGTTCACCGTCGATTTTCGGACTCCAGAGAAAGAAAATTGTATAAAATGTAGCTAACGTCACCGAAACCATATCGTGTGACCCTGTTTGACATGATGATTTGTTCGTTTTTTTTCTCCATTCAGTCCGTTGCTTTCTTTAAAGAAAACTATAAATATAATTTTGCATGGAAAAATAGCTGTTGGTCATGAAACGCGCAGTTTTGGGTAGAGCTGAACAGAAAATTGTATCGTTTTTGGTTTGGAAAAATTCCATTTTTTCTCTCTCTCTCTCTCTCATTCTCTCGTGATCACGTCTGTAAATGCGATTTAACATCGCAACCCAAAAAAGTTAGTGCTTTTCACTCATGTACTTGTATATGTATGAATATTTTTTTTGTTTAATGTCCCCTCACCTCATACTCGCAATTGGTTTGAGCTCACGGCATTAACTATAGCAATTTTTGTAGTTGTTCTGTGTTAGTTGCCTCGGTTCTATGGGCAACAGTAACAATTATGCGCAAACCACAACAACCGAATTTGATTCCCTTTTTTATTTTGAACATAAATTTAAATCACAAATAACGGGTAAATTGCTGCCCAGTAGTTTTCCGTTCATTTTAATTATTGCCAATATAATGTGGCAATATACAGCGCTTCACCAGTCATTATAAATTGTTTTTTTTTTCTGTTCTGTTCTACAGTCGACTATACTATGCATGGCATTTGGTTGTGCTTTCTTTCTAGATCGAATAGCAACAAAAAAGGGGAGAACATGTTGCCGACAAACTGCCGTTTAATAACGTAAACAATTCGTTTCTAAATAAAAAGCCATTTGAACCGTGCCGAATGAGCTCGTTCACTCGTTCGCGCTCAATGCGTTCATACTCATACTCACAAGGCCCGCACACTTGCACACATAATTCATCATTGAAACTTATTACAACGTTTCAAATAACAGCATTAATAACAAAGCCAATTCAGCTGTTGACCATTTTGATTGCATTGCGTTAGTTGGCTGCCAGCCTCAGTATTGCGGTGTATATTTTGTGCATAATTCAAGTGCTTTTCGCCGCATTTTTCGTCTACGAAGAGTCTACGACCGCGACGCGTATGTGTGGCCCATTCGACAAGCATTGTATGTTTACAACCATTTATTTACGCTCGAATCATCAAATTCAAACATGAATTTGATATTCTGCACGGCACATTCAATGTACGCTTTTCGTTGTCTCCCTCTCTCTCTCTCTCTCCCCACTCGGCGTCAAATCAGTTCAAACACAATATGTAACAAGTATGTGATTATTGCTTTTCAGTTCGTTCTAAATAACAATGTAGCTGTTTAAATTTAGATGGGATTCAAAAATCTAAGAATCTAAATCGAAATCACATACATACGATGTTGTTGTAAAAATCAAAGGAACATGGGAACAGAAATCATAATGCCGAGAAAAATAGAACAGAACCATAATTAAAGACGAGCCTAGATCTCTCGACAACAACCGAACTATTTATTGTTGTGTAAAATCACGTACATATTGTGATTGCTACTTTGATTTCGTGTGAATATTAGTCCCCCCCTTCTCTTGTGTTATTGAAAATTACAGCCACATCAAAAGCATCGATAAAAATGAAAAGCAACGACGCAACGACCGATGACGAGATGAAAGAGCGATTAAATCATTCGACATTTGCGATTTTAGCCCATATTTGTATGCGCGAATGAAAAGTTTTTCTAGCGCGAAATTGATTTCCATCTCGACTAATTGAAATGATTCGATCAGTTGCGCTTTTTTCACATTAGCACGGTTGAAATGCGCATATAGTTGTTGGGTGCTGAATGCGTTGGATGCACACCTTCTGTACAGTGAATTTAGAACGAATTTGAATACAATCATTCGTATACATTTGCTGGAATTGCAGAAAAAAACAAACAAACAGCAACGCGTATTTGGCGCAACGCTGAATAGTCATTATTTTAATTGAAAAGAAGAGAGAAAAAAGATGCATTGAGGTGTGTAGGTGAATGCTATGCAGTAGAAACCCGATCAACTAACAATGGCATCGATTGAAACATGAGCTAGAATTTAAATCCAAATCGATTTTTGTGGTAACTGTCATTCGCAAAAACATGCATCCAACTTATCGACAATCGTCTACATATGCGGTGCAACAAATGAATGATAAAAATGAACGACATTCATTTAAATCAATGAATTTGCTTTGGAGTTTATCATTTAGCTCATTAGCTCTGTCCGTTCAATTAAGGTGGATTACGTGCATACGTGGTGTTGGTATAGATACTACAATTACTACGGAGGAGGAGAGAGCACACAAGTAATTGACACGTGCTACATGCATTTTAAACAGCTGATGGTCGGTTTTCTTCTTTGCAAACGCAAAAGAAAAACGCACACGCTGCTGCTTAATTTACACTGTGCGAAGAAAATAATTGTATGCAAATTTATGCGAACAATGCAATTGGCGAATGGGTAAAAGTGAAGCAACACTGAATGATTTATTCGTCAAATCACAAAATTGAAATCGCCTTTCTCACTACGCCTGCTGCCGATTTTGTTTTTGCCGGTTTTTTTTCCGAAGCTAACGGTGTAATTGGATGGTTATGAGGTCGATGTGATCACAACGAATCGATTGTTATGTAGAAATCGCATGTCGATTTTTCGATGTCAATGAATTATTATGTAAAAAAAAAGAAGAGAAGTAACGATTTCATTTTATACGAGTCAATGATCGTACATCGTGTGTGTGCGTTTATGTTTTCTTAATTTCAAAGCATTGAGCAGAAAATATTGTCTAATTCGCTGAAAACGCCGGTGCCCACTTGCAAATCGGCCATTCAGTCGAACTAATGAAGTGATGAGAAGTGTGCCGATCATTTACACCATGATTTATTCTCTCGAATGCTTTATTTCTTCTTTGTTTCACGGTTTCGGAATCACTGAATTCCAAAGTATCTGATTCGCAACGATCCAATGATAAATAATAATAAACAAGAAATGAAATGAAACAAAAAGTTTCTATTCTTGATAAATATTTGACAGAAAATTTGCTCGCGTTTTTTTCTGTTCATTCCTTTTTTCTCTCTCTCTATCTTTCATGCTTGTTCACGCTTTCTGCACAACGATAATTCGCAAAGCAAAAAAAAACAACCATAATCAGTAGATCACGATGAGAGAAAAAAATAATATATAAATTATAATACACACGGAGCAGCAGCAATAACAACAACGAAAAAAGCATGCGGCTAAACGAACGAGCATAAATGTAAGCGAAACGATAAAAGTGAGAAAACGGGCTGAGAAAAGAGATTGTCGTGACTTGATGTCAGATTGTCGTCTACTATTTCACAGTCTATTCATTGTGCATATTCTTTTTCCTCAGATTTCTGTGCCGGTATTTTGGAACACAATTCCGCAAAAATCGTTCGGAATTATTCCAAACGATCCATTGAATTTTGAAACATCAATTCACGACGTTCAATAAAAATCAAAAACGTTCAATCAGAAGATGATCGCTTCTGTATTTGAACTTTGTGGAGTGATATTCCAACATTCAATGGATCGTTTGGAATAATTCCGAACGATTTTTGCGGAATGTAAATGTTCTAAAATACCGGCACTGGTGTTTTTCATTATTTTACTTTTCCGTACACAACAAGGGAAAGTATAGGAATTGGTCCCGAAAACTTTTTTCGCAAAATTGGTTTAGATCATCATAAAAACTCATGAAACGCGTAGAAAACCACTTTTTGAGACAATTTTCCGTTCGTGTGCCGTCGTCGTTGTCGTCGTTGTCGTTGTCGTTGGTGTTTGTTAACACGATAACTCAA